AATGTTATTAGTTGCACCTGATGTGTTTTTGATGTGTTTGCTACAACAAGGCAACATGTCTGCATATATTATCCTTTTTAAAAGTTATGTTCTTCCCAATTTGAAATTAACTGTAAATGTCAAGTTATAGTTAAAATATTCCTGCTCTCAGATATCTGACCTATCAAACACAAGTATCAGTATTTTTAGTTTTAATTTCAGTGAAAGACTGAACATTATTTGTCACAATATCTTACACTCTCATCTTATAATGAATGACCATGTTGTCCCTGTCAAATACTCTAGGACTCGTTCAGCTTTCCTGGTTAGTTCTTAATAACAATGTCATCATGACAAAATTAATTTGAATGTCAAATTTTTAGTTTTTCTGAAAATAATACATTTTCACCTGAGGTTTTGGTTATAACGTTGTTAGTCATATGTCATGTTGTATGTACACACAAGGACTGTCAAATACATGTTTACGTCTCTAGGTGGAGCTCCGGCATTATTTTAACCTGCCTGTACTAGAACTGTCAAAAGACAATGTGGCCACGTAGTGCTTATTGTTCAAAGTATCGATAGCAATGAATCATTTTAAAGATTGCAATCTGGGACTATGTTTGTAATAAATGCTTGTATCGTTGACTGCACTATTTCCAACTGTTATGGCCTGCTCTATTGTATTTGTACAACATAGGCAATTATGAACTGACAAACACTGGTCAATCTTCTCTTGTGACAACATTGTTAGACAGGACTGAAGTCAAACAAAGATCAGACCACAAGTTCTATTTGAGAACATGTAAAGCTATTTTTAGTGAGCAGTGTTTGCCTTTTATTTTTTACTTCAAAATTGCCACTACTTTGTTTTTCTGTGTACATTTTAAAAAGTCCATTATACTTAGCTACACTAGCACCAGTACTAATAATTGGTATGAGATGTTTTCTTTTGAGAAGCTTGCATTACAGTATTTCACTGTTCCCTTTCACAAGTGTGAGTGTAATAAAAGTGACAAGAGGAAACCAGTGTTCGTTAGTTTCCTGTTTAATAATGAACTGTACAAAAGGGTCATATGGGGACATTTCTACAGACCAGTTGATAAAACTTCTGAGAATTTTAATTCATTCCACGAATGCCTTCCCAACTAAAACACAATCACTTTCCAAAATGTGTCTCACCTGTTGTAGTTATTTATAATACTTTTCTTTCGTCTTTCTATTGATTATTTTAACTTTCACCTACAAGTTCATGTTTTCAGTCTTGTCTGTCTGAAAATGCCATAAAAAAGGATTTAATGATTCCAGTAAGAATATTGGAAGGCTCAGTGATGGGCCACTAAAAACAAAACACATCTGAATAGAACATTTGATTTGAGTTTGTTTTTAGAATTACAAAGTCTTCTGATTTTCTACAACTGATTCAAATACATTCTTGGAGGTATATGGCCTATTTGCCCAAAATTATGTCCATGAGTACCTGATCATACTGGACTATTTGTCACAAATGTTGCTGGTTTGGAAATTCAGGGTTTGTGTTTGTGAATTCAGGTAACTCAAAGATAGTCTAGCTATAAAAAAAAAAACATGCTTTGTGAACCAAAAGGAGAGCTATGGTCATGTGTACTGTGAACATGGAAAGTGCTGTATAACAGTATACTGGTGTTTCTAATCAGCCACAACCAAGTTGGACAAAATCGAGGGGAATTCAATGGGTTTATTGTAACCTCTGCCAAGATAGTTGTTTTTCTCCCCTTTTTTTTCGATTAGTTAAAGTGATATCTCATGTTCCTTGACAAAACTGCCATGATTGTTCAATGCACTGTGTAATTTCAACAAAATCCAGATTACATTGGCACAAATAAACTTCCAAGAGATCCTTCAAAATTCTGTTGCATGCAGGTGACTCCACAGCAACATGATCAATCAACTCACCTGAAACTTTGCATGATTAATGCATGTACAAAAAAAACTCAGGGTTAATATCATACCATTTCTATTTGGAGTAATAAAAGGATCCTGTTAAAGATAATATTTTTTTTCTTAAATAAAAATATAGAAGATTGTGCAGCTTTTGCAGAGTCAGTTCAATTGCTATTTGATTTCATTGCTCCTCGACAGCATACAGTCATTGATAAACTTATTAAGACTGGTGCACCACAGTGGGTTTCAACCATGCCATTGGGGGCAAAGGGTTAACTTTGTCCACACTACTGAGTAGAAGTCACAGCCATAGAAAATGTAATTGATGGTTACCGATGAGAATCAAGACCCTGTTTTACAGAAAAAGAAGACAATGGTAAACATAATCTTAGACTTATCATCCCATTTTCCCCTTCTCCCATTTCTTCTTTCCCATTATCTTTGAAGTGGAGGAAATGTGTGCACATAGCATCCACTACAATGTGACATGAGAGCAAGAGCACATCAATCATTATCGTACCTTTTTAAGTTCCCGAAAAAATATGTGGCTGAGTAAGTTCTGTCAAAAAGAAAAATATTTTTATGATGCCGCATCTTGATATAACAAGCGCATATTTGCAGTAGCTGCAACCACACATGCGTGCATGCACTCTATTCATTCACACACACACACACACACACACACACACACACACACGCACACACACACACACACACACACACACACACAACCTCATAAACAATACACATTAATGGTATGAGGAAATAATTAAAGCTTTGTTTTTCGCTGAAAGATGGAAGAGTACAGAAGACAGTTTGACAGAGCAGAGCATTTTAAAACATGTTGACCTTTAGAGGTTCAAAGTATGAAGCTGTGTAAACATTGTGAGTGAATAAGTAGATAAGCAGACAGAACAAACAATGTATCAATGGAGCCAATGCAAATACGTGCTTTATTTCAGCTACTATCCTTAAAATGTAACATGTGATAGTTCGTCACAACCAATCAGAGAATTGTACACTGTTTTCTGTAACCAATCATAATGTTCCAGCAGCGGGCATATGTGTGTTTATCTATGTCGGAGACAGCTCTGTTGATGTTGTTTTGCCATTTGTTTGAGTTATAAGGGGGCGGGTCTAAAGTGTAGGGGGCAGGGCAAAGCATCACTTATGAAAAAGGTACTTTGCTGAGTGCAATGAAGGGGAAGTAGTCACCCATTGGTTTGTGGACTGCTATTTTGAAGCCTCGGGTTCTGCATTTTGTCCATCGCCAAGTACAACCCAAGGATAAATAAGATATTTTAAGGAAATCAAAAAGGTTACAATGAACTTACATGAACTAAAACACACACCGTAAAAGGGTTAAAAATACAATACTAAAACACAGATAAACAAAAGTTTAAGGCCCTTCCGCATTGCCTCCAGTTTTCTGAACCAGAGGTTGCCTCCTGGAAGCTTCCCATAAGAGTCTACAACAAAGGCTTTTTATTATAAATCAACCTCACCACACTCCTTTTGTCAATTGGCATGAACACAAACACACACCTTCACACCCACACACTTGACCTCCATGTCAAATTGCAGCTTCTATAGGGCAAAAACAGTGGCCGCCAAAGGGTGGGGAAGTTTTTGTAAAACCGACCGAGGGAGCAGCTTGCTGCAGCTAAAAGCATGTGTGGTGGAATTCTGTATCACTGAAGAAGAAATGCGAGAGATGTCTTTGTGAGAGATTGCAAATGCTTAAATAATCTTTCGGTGTCTCCTTCTTATAGTGAGCATGTAAAGGAGGGGTTAAGAAGTCAAAGGTTTGGTTCAGAAGTACCTTCCGCTGTCTGGTACTTTTGACCAGACTTTTGACAACAGAACAAACACATTTTCTATTGCACTTAAACAGTAAGACAGACAGGCAGTTAGAATATTAATGTTAATATTAATTAAAATAAGCTCCGAATGTCCTACAAGCTCACCTCCCAGCACTGGCTTCTTCATCATAACAATGAAGACAATTGTTGAGTTCCGCACTTGTGGGACTCAACTTCAGCCTTGATCAGGAGGAGAGGCCGCACTGTGCATCACAGCTCTTGTGTCAGCTGTCTGGTTGCTCTGTGTCACAGTTGTCATCCATGAGTAAGAATGGCGGGCATGTTTAAGTTGATGACCTGGAGGAGCCCTTTGACCTAGACAAGGTTGTAAGCTCACTTGCTGTCTAGATTGATTCGCCTGGATGCTACACTCCAAGGCTTGCTATGATGCTTGCCCATTTCACCTGGAAGTGTAAGTTGAGAGCATGGCAAAGCCAGCAGAGTTTTTTTGAATTAACTCTGTTTTTGTGTGCGTCAATGTGCTACTAAAGTCAATCAGCTCCTGTTTTGTGTGCTATTAGTTCTTTGTCTTTTAGAAGACATCATTGTTATGGCACAAGTGCAACACTTTTTAATGTAGCCGATACATATTTACATACTGGATTGGGGAAAATGTGTCCTCAATTAAAGAGACTTTTCCAGAAATAGAATAAGGTATTGGCTATGTTAAGTGGCCATATGGTTTTGTTAAATATCTGAGCAGAAATAACCACAGGGCTGACACGGATATGACTGCTGAGGCTCATGTGTTTAAAATAAAGCTAAATTGACAGTATTATAAATCTTAGGATATATGGCTAATGACTACACGTATGTGTATTACTATAGTGTTATTGTAATGTTGTGGTATGTTTCGTTATGCTAAATCCCTATTAGGTAGTAATACTAATAGAGGTGTTGCTTTCTCAATTGCAGTATTGGAGATTTGTATTATCTCCCACACTTTATATAATATGATGTATACTATATTCCAAAGAATACTGTAGCTTTGTGTGTGTTGGAAAACAATACATGTGTGTTTTCAATATATGATATGTAATAAATAAAACAAATATAAGTATGCATTACCTCTCTATCTCAACTGGGAATTGTAATTGGCATACAGGGTGAAATTCTGTTTTAGGGAGGCTGTTGCTTAGTTTATATCTATATTGTTGCTTAGTCTATATCAACATGCAGGTCAAATAAATAGATTGGGCAATTCTCAGCTTTCGTTGCACCCAAACGCCTCATGGGTGTGTGACCCACATGGTTTCACGTGTGGGATATGGTCTGAACTGCGTATGAGGAGCAGAAGAAGAGTGGCAGCATTTGTTTTTGGGGTTTTGGGGCATAGCTGCTCCTGAGAAAACGGACCGTGAACGTCAAAACGATCCTATCCTGTTGGGGGGAGACGGACAGCCAGGAAGGAGTCACTGCTTCACTCACATATACCTTCTGCAGCATGGAGAGTCGTTGTAGTACATGCTCGGTGCTAGCGGGAGCTAAACAAGGTAGCGTGCGTCTTCAGTATTTAAAAACAATATAGCCAGTGAGTCTGACTGTAACGACTAGCGTTAACCTATGCATTTTAAAATACGTGATCATATGTCAGTGTTAAGGCTGTGAAGCTGTGTTTGCTGTAGTGACGGTGAATCTACCATTGCTTGTCTGCGTGCGTACAAATACGTCTGGTGAGACATCTGGCCTATATTTACGCTCGTGTCTAGACGGAAACTGTTTACGCACAAATTGCAGAAACTGTCCGACACGGTTGAGGTTAGCGTCAGGCATTAACCTCCAATGGTTACGGGAATGGGGCGGTTGTTGTGAAGTGGGGTCTTATTCTGCAGTCAGTGGTGTCCTACAGTAGAGGGCAGTCGGTACGCCCACAGTTTGGAGGAAGCAGACCCCGGAGAACAGCGGTTACATGTCAGTCTACGTTAGAGGTGTTCAATTAATGTTCAACGAGAGAATGTCCTCGTGCAAAGGTCCGGAACGTCACAATAATGTGCAACTTGCGCTGTTATTTAGTTCCATATGTTGAAGTAGCCTAGCTGTTGTATTAACGTCGGTATTTCAAATTTAGAATAAAGAAATTTCAGTTGAATAATATCTAAACAATATTTATCAGTTTTCAAATTGAACTGGATTAATTATAAATAATAAATACTCTAATAATAAATACATGTCAAGTAAAATAAGGGATGCATATAAGAATAAATTACACAACAGAAAGCTTTTGAAAAACGTGCATCTTAAAATATGGTACTTTTATTTTAGAAAAGAGAATTGTCCAGCTTAAAATTCAGTTCATTCAGGTGTGAAGTGATGTCAACCAAGAAAACCACGATATTATATTCCTCTCGTGTGTGCGGGGACTTTATCTGTGGTTATTAAAGCCACTTGTTTCAGCTCTTTTCCTCTCTGTTAACATCACTGTTGGTCGGTGAATACAAGTTTTAGGATTCTGATCATATTGGGCTCTTCGATTGTTTATTTTCTGTGCCTTCATTTCAGATGTGAGTGGGTACGTTGTGTCCTTTGTCTCAGTGGCGCTTCACATTGCCGCTTTTAATAATCTGCATGGTCTCTGAACAATGAAGATACAAGAGTCTCCATTATTGGTGAAAGGCTCTGGTTAAGCTGTCCACATTAATTTTTTTGGAGAGCGTCATGTGAAATAACTTCTCTGACGTAATTCTAGATTCTAAAGGAATCTAGCCGACGTGTCTGGAACAAAAGTGAAAGTGGCAACTTCCAAAACAATGGCAGCCGCTGTGGCAAGCCGGTGGCAACCCCCCAGGCAGCGACAACTGCCGTGGCAGGTTGTGTCAGTCAGTGGCAACTGCCCAAAACATCGACAACTGCCACAGTTAGTCAGTAGCTGCTGAGGCATGCCTCAAAAAAAGTGCTACTGTTTGAGCTTGCTGTTACTCCCCAGCGTGGCATTCAAGCGCTAGGATTGGCCAGGCGTCCATGCCCGCCGGGTTACAGGTAACCTGGTTAGTTCGGATGCTATGACCCTAACTCCTCGAGGGCAATGCTTACCGTTAACCAATCGTCTCTGCCTCAACCAGCTACACAGCGTGGGTCTTGCCAAGAAATGCAGTGGGATTCATAATCACGCGGCCTGGGGGCTTTGAATAGGGCATACATAAATTTCACTTTGAAAAAAATCGACACGTTTCAGTTCAGTTCGACGTCTGAAAGAGCTGTCTGACGGCAAGATAAATCTGTGATAATATGTAATAATAAACATGTTTGAATCGCATATTATAATTGAGCAAATATATTACCCTATTTAATGACATTGCTGTGTTTTAGAGTCTCCTGGACAGTTTTCGGTGAACACATGGAGTGCAGCCCTTGATGGTGACATGGTAAGATGAAGACAAAGACTTCTTTTTATTGAGATGGAGGGTTATGCATACAGCCTGTGAGGAGGAATATACGGGGTTTCTTTCTACCATGCATGGACGGCTGCTACCGCAATGGATTTAATTTGATCAATCTCACTGTTAACTATACATATCTGTTGAATTTGAATTACAAAGCTATAACATTATAATGCATCTTACATGTTACTGCATCAATAATAATCTAATATTATAAGGTAGTCTTTAGCATTTATATAAAAAAGGCTAAAGACTACTTACGCACAGGCATGTTTGTTATCTTAAAGAATTGCAAGATTTTAGAAGATGGTAAAAGTCAGGCCACATATGATGTAATGTAAGAACTGCATAGTCTTTGGCTACATATTTTTTTCCTTCTTGACTCCTGCTGATTTCTTGCATAGTGTTATTAAGCTTTCTCTGAAGTCTTCACAATTACGGCCATTAAAAAGATTAGGGAGGAAAGTCACAGGCAGGCTAATCCCACCTGGACATTTACTGCAACTGCAAAACTGAGTTAAGTAGAACCTGCATTTTTTTAAATCTTCATACATTTTATAGAGTGCAATGCCATATTTTACCTTTTCATTAGATCAAATTATGTTACTGATTGTGATATGATGTTCAGTTTGACTTTGACGTCATTTCTAAACCTCACTTCCTGTTTTTATCCTGTTTTCAGAGAGGCTGTTTGGTGTTTTACGCTTCTCAAATTACCGCTCTAATGAAGGTTTTTTTACTTTCTCTTTGCTGTTTTTCAGACATTTGAACTCTAGGCTTTTGTAGACCAGAGACATACAGCGTCGTCTTCCAAAACGAGAACAATCACCACCGTGCCGTTGGATAAAGCCCTCCGAAGCACACCTAGGGATTTTGACCTACCGGTGGATACCACAGCTTCCAGACAGCAAAACAAATCATTTCCATTCCTCCATTTTAAACCGATAAATCAATAACTCACTATTTTGTATTCATTTTTTCAATCAGAATTTGTAAAGTTGTGAGCTCTACTTCCAAGAGTTTACTTTTAGGTTAATCGGTAATAATGGGTCCTGGAATGGAGACAGTGGACGTAGCAGTGGTAGCCTTGTATTTTGTCCTGGTGCTAGCCATTGGTTTTTTTGCCATGCGTAAAGCCAATCGCAGCACCGTGCATGGCTACTTCCTGGCTGGACGCTCCATGACGTGGATAGTGGTGGGTGCATCACTCTTCGTCAGCAACATTGGCAGTGAACACTTCATAGGCCTGGCTGGGTCAGGCGCAGCAAGTGGCTTTGCTGTTGGAGCATGGGAATTTAATGCGCTTCTACTTCTGCAGCTGCTTGGCTGGGTGTTTGTCCCCGTGTATATACACTCGGGAGTATTCACCATGCCGGAATACCTGTCGAAACGCTTCGGTGGCAACAGGCTAAAGGTTTACTTTGCTTTCTTGTCTTTATTGCTATATATTTTTACCAAGCTGTCTGTGGACTTATTCGCTGGAGCTCTCTTCATTCAAGAGTCCCTGGGTTGGAACTTGTATCTGTCTATTTTCCTGCTCATTAGTATGACTGCACTGCTCACTGTCACTGGCGGATTGGTGGCAGTACTCTACACGGATTCCCTTCAGGCAGTGTTAATGATTGGTGGAGCCCTAACCTTAAGCATCATTAGCCTAATTAAAGTTGGTGGGCTAGAAGGTGTCAGAACTAAGTACATGCTGGCAGTTCCAAATGTTACTGCAATAATGGCCGCCGGAAACTTCACCTATTCTCCTTCCTGCCGTATTGATCCTAAACCAAATGCGCTACATGTCCTTCGAGGTCCCCTGGATGAAGACATCCCATGGCCGGGCTTCCTTCTTGGCCAGACCCCTGCATCTATTTGGTACTGGTGTGCAGACCAGGTCATTGTCCAGAGAGTACTTGCGGCAAAGAACATTGTTCACGCTAAGGGCGCTACGCTCATGGCTGGATTTCTCAAGATCCTTCCCATGTTTCTAATAGTCATTCCTGGAATGATCTCCCGCATCTTGTTTGCGGACGAGCTCGCCTGCATTGGGCCAGAGCACTGCATGTCTGTGTGTGGTTCTTACGCCGGCTGCTCAAACCTTGCCTACCCACGCCTGGTCATGGCAGTGATGCCCATGGGACTCAGGGGTTTGATGATGGCAGTCATGATCGCTGCTTTGATGAGTGATCTAGACTCGATCTTTAACAGCGCGAGCACCATCTTCACACTGGACATATACAAAACTGCTCGACCGAAGGCGTCTCAGCACGAGCTGCTGATCACGGGCCGCTTGTTTGTCGTGGTCATGGTGGTAATCAGCATTGCCTGGGTCCCTGTTATTATTGAAATGCAAGGTGGACAGACATACCTCTACATCCAGGAAGTTGCTGGCTACCTCACTCCACCAATTGCTGCCCTTTTCCTGTTGGGGGTGTTCTGGAAACGGTGCAATGAGAAAGGTGCATTTTGCGGCGGGATGACAGGTTTCACACTCGGCGTCGTGCGACTGATCCTAGCTTTTATCTACCGCCAGCCTCGCTGTGACCAGCCAGATGATAGACCTGCCTTCATCGTTAATATTCACTACATGTATGTTGCCACTGGGCTGTTCTGGATTACTGGGTTTGTGGCGGTGGTGGTCAGCCTCTGCACCTCTCCACCAGATGAGGAGCATGTTCGTACCACCACATTCTGGGGGGTCCGCAACATTAAAAAGGTTCCCACAGAGGACAGGAAGGACACTTACAGGCTGACTGAAAAGATCCATTATAGTGCAGACGGAAGTCTCCAGGAAGAACTGCCTCTAGATGTCAGAGAGGAGAAGTGTTTGGATGGGGCACATGTCATACCCCTGATCCCATCCACGGACTGTGACCCAGAAACCCCTAGTACGGAAACATCCCTTCTCGCCACAACTCCAGAACAATCTGGTAGTGCAAGTAGGGAGATGATCAGAAAGGAAAGCTGCCATGTTAGTGGGGAGACCAGCAGGTGCAGGCGTTTCCTGGAATGGTTTTGGGGATACAAGGAGGGAGCACAGAGCTCTAAGCAAGACGTTGTGCAGGAGGATGCAAGAGCTGTTGCAGAGAGGCTGTACGAGCCGCCTAGAATCAAAACTCTCCTCAACGTGGTTCTGTTTATCAACATTTGTTTGGCCATCTTCATGTATGTTTTCTTCTCGCTGTAGTTGAACTCTGCACTGAACCAATGTGAACTGGTGTGGATGTTTTTTTTATTGAGGTGGAAACGAACAGTTGAGTTTCCAAAGATTTGAGAAGCTCTGCCTGTAATACAGTTGTCTTTTGTAGCTCTCTAACAAGGATCTAAGATTACATTAATTCGTTTTTTTTTTTAAATGTATAAAGCTTTGACACGGGAAAACAATTGTGCTCTTAATGACTATGAAGCTTATTATTTAGACTGGTGTTTGTCCTTTTTGTAATGCGCTTGTATTACATTTATAATATAGACTTGTTTTTTGTACTTCTACGTGAATTTGATATTTGCCTTATTTGACATATGCACTTGTTTTTTTTCTGTGAAAATTAAATGTATTCTGTGATTTATGCATTTTTTTCTATTTTAGTTGATGGCGACGGTAGGCTTAGTTGCTGGTGTAGCGCCTGTATGTCTGTAGTAAGTCAAAAAACTATTTTAGGTTAGAGAAGCCTTTACGGTTTTGTGCAAGTTTTTGTCGCTGAACGCTAAATTGTCACAGCATTATTTCAGTAAAAAAGTATTTGATATATTTTTATTGTTCCCCCGACTGTCAGTTCATGTTTATCAGCAAAATACCTTATAAATATCCATGTTGTTTTGCTGAAGACAATAGGTAGAAATGATATCTTACCCTCTGTTTGTAAAGTGGACAATTATGAAGTATGTAAAACGAGTTAAGTGCCAAGAACCTCTGCTGCTATTACATACGACCATTATGTGGTTTGATTTAACCGACTGCAGGTATTGCCAAGCTTACAGTAAATATCTGGTACTTATAATATGTACGTGTTTTGCAGCACAGGAAATTAAGAGAAGAAGCACAATGTTAGAAATTTTTAGGCTTTTTCAATTTATATTTGTTTTCTTCTTGAGAATAAATATTCTAACTTCTATCATAACAACAAGCCACTTCCAATACTGATTCAGTATCCATTTATACGTTATGAATATCTCATTGTATGGTTCACATTGTTCAAAAGTGTTGAGTGTGTTACATTGTGTTAACATTGTGTATAATATAATTCAGGGCTCATTGGATCACCCACAATATACATTTATTTCTGTTGCAGGCTGTTGTGTCTCTACTGTGTGTCAATGTACCTTTTAGCGCACTGCGGTGCAATTAATTGTTGTAACTTGTTTCAAGCGCACCTTTCATGAACCTCTTTTACCAAATGTGTCTTAGTATGCAATGCTAAAATGAAAAAATAAAGAAGTCAGTTTTCCTTCCTGAAATTAGTGGGGGCAGTGAATTAGGATTAGGAGGATTGAGTAATGATTTGCCGTATGGGGAAAGTGCTTTAATATGATTTATTTCTCTCTGCGAGAATATACATTGTTATCTTTATGGATTTTATATTTTAGAGACTTAAATAAAATTCCTGTGGAGACAAAAAGAAAGTGTATTCATTATTTATGTAAAAATGAGAGGAACAGTTGGAGAATTTACTTTCTATAGTAAGTGCATTTAAATATTTTTTTTAATTTCTTCTCAAGTCAGGTGATTTGTTGACTTGTGCTGTACTAAAAGAATATTACAACACCTGAAATATTCATGATTGATCTTGTGATTATCAGCTGTCTCGATGTAATAGGAAGCCGAAGCATCTTAACTGTGGACCCATTTCACAAGTTATCTCCTGGTTATGTTGGTAACGACGCATTTTATTACAACTCATGTATAACTGCATTATTTGATATTCTGCAACTTCTTCCTTTACACGATGATTGAGATGTCTTCAAAACTCTAAAGAGGTGGGAAGGAATTCATACTGGGCGTGGGCTGTAACAAACATTCAGTGTTTTAGGTTTTTCTGTTGTTGACCGGGGTTACATAAACCCCAGCACAACGTTATTAATCTTCTCAGAGCCAAAAGAGCATTGGATGGATCCAGGCTTCTTTACACAATATTCAGCCAATCAAAAAGCCGGTGGTTTATAAATCTCTACTTCTTACCAGTTTAGCTCCATACATTCCTCTATCCTCAGTCGACCAAACATGTAACTAGTGGATTAAAAGTTAACCTACAAACATGTACTTTAAGATGTAACGCTATACTTGTTAGAAAGCACAGAGGCTAAAATACAAAACTAAGAAATATCATAATGATTCATATGGTTAGATAATGTGTTGACGAGTACCCTGTTTTTGAGAGTGACACAACCAACACCATTGTTGCACTGAAAGACCTTGAAATGTCATGTCACTGATGTTCTATGACTCCCCATTGCAACAAAGTAAAATGTAGCGCGCACATCTAAAGGTGAGTGTGTGGGCTGCAGTTATGGGAGCAAATTGAGAAATACTTTTCCTGACAGAATGGACCTTGGCAACCTTGACCAAGGCAGCTGAATAAGTCAGTTTATCAGATATTTGCTAAATGTTTGTATCACATTTGCCCGGACAAATATATTTCACAGGATTAGTGGAAACTTTGACCTACTGGTGTTGCTAGGGGGGTAAAGCCAGTTCATCACAAAAATCAATAGTGTTCGTCCTATGGGCACCCTGGATATCTGTACCAGATGTTGCATCAATCCATGAAATAGTGGTTGAGATATTAAGGTAAAAGTGTCAAACTGCTAGCGGTGCTAAAGGAAAAGTCAGAGAATCATCAAAGTACTTTTACTTAAATAAATGACACTGAATACTTCTTCCACCACTGTTTAGTTACATTGTGCAGGTGGATAGCTCTCAGGTAAGCAATCATCTTATGGATACCTGTCCACTGTTTCCCCTCTTATTGAATAAAAACTGCAGGCCAGGAGCTCAGCTCTGTTGTGTTGTTGTTATTTTACAACACACACTTTGAGTTTGACATCGCTGTAAGATTCAAACAAAATTGAGTTTCCTTTGTCGCTTATCATTCCACGTATTTTACCCACTTTGCCTACCCCTCTCATAAATGAATGATATTGTCCTTGTGGAAAAGTACTGGCATCAATGCCATGCTTTGTTCATTGTCTATTTTTGTGTTTCACATCCATGTCAGTTCTAAATTTAGTTTTCTTATTATAGCTGTTATCTTTTAGGGTGGCAATCTTTTAACAGGGGATGTAAAACAAAGTTTGTTGATGCCCTAAACTGATCATCAAAGGTAACACTTCCTGACATGCTGCCAACTGCTTCCAACAAGTTATAGGCATACCGAGGCATATTAATCAAATGGATCAGGATGTAGATGGTCGGGTTGAAGTCTTTCAATTCTGGTAAGATTTAAAGCTGCCAGAGAGGTTCAACTCAGGACATGAAAATCATTTAGGCGTGGATGCCTGAGCCTGCAAACATGCCCCTGTGGGCCCACATGACTTGTTGCATTAATTAATATTTTGGACCAAACCAAAACCAAATACTTTACCCCTAAAGGTCAGTTAAGGGCTCTTGTAAGTATATCTGCATTTGAAACACAGTTATTCCCTTTTGTTTTTGTGTCAGGGTTACAATGGTAATACACTTTTCTGTGATCCAGCAGCTGCATCCAAGGGTGTGCAGTGTGCACATGGACATGCAGCTCAGCTGAAATCCATTATTTTCTTTACCAGTAATTTACCAGGTTCCACAAAATGTACAGAACAGGCTGCATGTTTTTAAGCTCCAACCTCCATCTTCTTTAGGTGATTTTATGATAAACATACTTGCATACTATGCTATAGGAGCTAGTGATCTCACTTCTTGAAGCCTTGTGAAAGGAAAACCTGCATTGCCTTTCATTCGCACAGAGATGGCTGCTGACCTCATGGTCTGTAGACGAAATGCAGAAGATGTTCTCAAGTGCACAAACTTTCCAGAGCTTCAGCACTTTGCATCTAGGAAAATCATTGGAGCGATCAGCAAATTTTGACGTATAGTATGAGTGAGTCCTACTGTATACAATTGAATTTGTTTTGTATATTCCTATGAATTACTAATGATCTCAAGAGTATCATTTCTATTAAATAATGGAATCATGGTCATTGACTCCATACTGCAACTGAAATGACTGTGACAGATTTCTGCGAGTTTGTCTGCTAGTATTAGCAAGTTGTCGCAAAATACATTTTGCGTATAAAAATCAGTTTGCTTGTTTGTTTTCCCGTCACATCAAATGTCATTTTGCTTTTCCTTTTTGCTATTTAGCCATATTCGGATTAATGTCTCTGTTATTCCTTCTTATTGGGGTGACAACAGAAGCAGCCATATGGGGAATGTGGAATGACCTGTCAAATACACCACAATAACATTTCTGTCATTCCCAAATGCACAGCCCCGACTAAACTGTGTGGGCATGCCTGGTATAATCCGTGGAACAGAGCTTCAATGGCAAAAGGAAATATTTGCCTCCCTTAGTAATAACAGCAGAAAAACTGTGTCAAGGCCTCGACATAATGAACGAGAATCAATGAAACATACACGAGGCCTTTTCTTGTCTGGGTCAAACCGACCGATGACAACATTGATTATGGACAAATTAACAGCACGGCTGCTGGAGTGTCAAGAGTAAACTGCTGATACCGAGATTTATGGAAACAGTGACTTATTGATATGATGCAGAAAAATAGTAGACTTTATCAACAGGTCTCACTCTTGCAAGTCATAATAATGATAATGGTAACTGATTATAAAAAGGAACATTGAATAGCCTACTGCTCCAACTTTATGCAAAACATGAATTATTAAAATATGAAGGCTAGCCCTGTTTACTTTACTGGCAACCATTAAGAGTAACCCATGCTGTTTTAATACACATCATACACCAGGGCACCACGCAATAAATACAAAAGAAGTAATTGTACAGACCTACCAGACACCCAGACTGTACTGAAACAAATGAACGTGATTAAACAGGAAGTCAATTATCATTCTAGCTTTCAACCAATCATTTTTATTTTCACCTATATGCTGACTCCTGTGACTCACAGTACGCTGGTCAATGTTTACGCTTTATGAATGACTATAACTCCAATGATTACAAGCACACACATACACACATAAACATAGACACTGAACACATAACACACACCATATGAGCATGTTCCGGCCTATATGTGCATAAATAAGTAGGCACAGCATATGTGGTCAATATGAATCTACATTTCAGAGTTTATGGTTTCAGACTTTAACATCCGGGGCCTATCATGGGGTTTTGGTCACTCGCTCCAGTGGCACTGGTCTCTCTTGCCTTTGGGTTTCAGTTGCTGTCCTGGTCCGTCTCTGACCCCTGATGTTTAATCCAGCCAGTTGTGTTTTTCCATGTTAATCATGTCCGCCAGTGTGCCTCTGTTTTTGTCCAAGGCTAATCTCGCATTCTGCTACAGCAAACTGCACAATATTTTGATTGTCCAGTTATGGCTGCGTGCTCAAGGACTAGCAGCAAACGTAAAAGTAGTTAAATAATGATTAACTTATTAAAGCTCAAATAATTTCCAGCGACCACAACAACTGTTTTTCCACATTGTATCCTTAACATCAGGTCACTATGGGTGTTTGTAAAAAGGCAGTAGGTAAGGATTTAGGATGGAGATAGATAATAGCTGGATGAATCACCTTCACATCAGTCTGTTTTGCTAAGAAACTTGTTCTGTGACTGAATAGGCAGGTTCATCTTCACCACATTGCGGTGCACACACAACACAAACACGCCAGGCGTCTAACCAAAAACCCATCAACATCGAGACAAGGGAACCCTTGCTGACTCATTTCTGGGTTTTAGGACTCATTCCTGCAGCACTCTATTGCAAGTTTCTTACAAACTCATTTCCAGCTCCTCTTTCCCGTGTAGTGCACCTCATGTGTCTTTGTGTTTCTTGCTCATTCCACTACAGGAGAGCCAGAGGAAAAGGAGGAAGAGCCAGAGCTGGTCATTGATTATTTGAGCTGTATGTCACAAATACCTGATCCTTCTCCTCCAAAAGAAGATCCAAGGCCTCATCATGAAGAGAAACCACCACAGAGAAACAGCAAAACTGAGTATAAAAGTTTACTGGGTTAAATGTACTGATAAATCACTCTCTGACCTTATGATTTGTCTGTGCAATAAGTGAAAAAGGAAATTAAAGAGCTGATGGAAACTATCGAGAAGGCCAAGCGGGCGCAGATAGCTGGCACTATAAACTTTGGAGAATATGGGTTGATAAGGGAACCATTGCTGACTCATTTCTGGGTTTTAGGACTCATTCCTGCAGCACTCTATCGCAAGTTGTTTACGAACTAGCTCCACTTTTCTGTGTAGTGCACCTCATTAGTCTTTGAGACCTCCATCCGCTGACCCTGCATTGCAAAACAAATGATCCAGGACTTGCCAGAAGTGGTGAGTCATCTGCTCTGGCAGTTTGACTCAGGAGACACACCTCCTTCTCAAACACAAGACACAGTTTCAAGCATTCTAGTCAGCAAAGAGATAACACGTTGAAGTATCCTTGAGCAACACAATGGATCTTGAATGACTTCAGCGTGCTGCTTTGTGACTGACACGAATTGCGTATTTTACTTCAGAACCCAGTTCAATTTCTCATTTAATCAAATAGTGCACTTTCACTTTTTTTACAGAATAGGAGGAAAAGGAAGTGCGTGTGAATACGAGTCTAACATGTGCTGCATTTTGCTGCCATCTGGGGAGATACAGTAAAATTACTATCGCCTTGCAGTCAATGTCCCCCTTGTATGGAGCTTCTAAGTGTGGGCTGATGAGGAATTACAAACACACACACACACACACACACACACACACACACACACACACACACACTCGCCAGCCACTATCAAACCAGTTGGGTCAATCTTGGATTTTTTCCATTTTCTGCTGTGTGCGTGTGTGTGTGTGAGGTTATAATAACTTTAACAATTTGTATGCCTTACATTTTCAAGGTCACCCCCCCCCCCCCTCCACACACACACTCAAACCCACTGTTCAGCCAAGGAGAAAAGATTAAAAAAGTAAACAAAGACTGAGCAGTGGTGTGTTACTGTGAGCTGAAGACTTTGCTTCTTCCTGTGACCAGCTGTGCTCTCTGTCAGCGCCTCTTTGCTTTGTTCCATTTGCACTCCAAGGTGTCCAGGGCGACCAATTTCATGATTCAGCCGTTGAAAACCTGGCAGAAGGTAAGTACAGTAAAGCTGCAAAGATACCATATTCTTAATTTCTGTTTAGTTTAGATGATAATACGACTGCAGGCTGCTGAACCTGTTTCTCGTGCTCTTTATATTACTTTGAAGCAGTGAAATATCAGTTTGGGCACTGATAATTTGGCTATTTTCAGAGCTCTATTCTAGCATGCTGCTTTAAAGAATCACATTTCATATCACAGAACTGATTTGTGGACCATAGCTGATGTTCCTTATTGGACTTCAAATGTAAATTTGATCCTCCTTTGCAGCAATTCTTCTGCTGTCAATATCAAGTGATTAACATAATTCATCATATTATATTCCAATTTCGCCAATAGATCCCCCTAAACGCAAAACACTTCCTTTTAGACTTTTTCCAGTGAAATGAGTATGCACAAGTCTACGTTCTGAATATACGACACACTCAATTTACTTAATAGACAAGTGTAATTTATCTTCAATTTTCTGGAAATTGCAGAAAACCATCCTTTGTTTTCCCTCTAGATGAGTGCATCTGATTTTTCCAACCTGACCCTTCACCTGGAGGGGTCCCTGACCAGTGCTTTAGATCATTACCTGGACAACTGGAGGCGTAACATGACGGCTGCAGCCAACGCTTTGGACAAGACTCTGGCTGAGGAGAACTTCAAGAACATCATCTGGTACCTGGTGGTGATGATTGGCCTGTTTGCCTTCATTGTTGTGGCCATCCTGGTAAGCACGGTGAAATCCAAGAGGAGAGAGCACTCTAATGACCCCTACCACCAATACATCAAGGAGGACTGGACTGCTCAGATACAACAGGGCGACGTTGTCACCAACTTTGCAGCTAGATAATGCAAGCAAAGACGCTCAGCCCACAGCAGATTATCATTATCATCAGTAGCAGTAGCAGCATAACCGGTTTTCACAAAAGTGGTCTAATATCCTTTCTTTTTCAGTGAATTTTGCTCATGCTGGTCAAATTTGTAATCAGTGTAATACGGTATAATAGATATTGTGTATCTAACTGAGGGTTTTGCTTTTTAGTCCTCTAGATATTTAACCCATTAACATCAATAATGCATTCGGACAGTTTTGTCACAGCCCTGTCAGATGAAGTCAAGTATCACGTCACTGACAAATGTGTTCATTTTATTTGATTTTGAAGAGAATGTTATTCAACACTGGTTACTATATAAATATACTGTATATGTTATTACAATATGTTCATGCAAATCATGGTGACTCGGACATAATGAAATAAAAAATGCTGGCCTGCTGTCATGACTTTCTGTGAAACTTAAATATATCAGAACCACTTTAATGTTATTAGTGAAAACACCTGTTCTTTTACTGCTTCTACAACATGTCTGCTGTGAAAAGGCCTGACACCAATTAATCCTATTTGTGTGTTTATTTTTTTGCAAAAAGCAGAGCTGCTCCATAATTCTTCCATATATTCCCTGGTAACTGTGGAAAATACCTGCTCGGATACAAGTACCTCTGGTTGAGAATCACTGCATGAGACTCTTAAACTTCAGCAGGTCATACTTGGTTTCTGCCTGCAGAGGGCAAACAAGGCTCCTCCCTCAGCAGCCAGAGAGAACTATTACACTTGAGGGTGGTGATGAAGAGGACTAAAGAGGTCGGCAAAAATAGAGGTGCAGCTGCTGCGGCTTTGTCAATCGTGTAATAATGGTGAATGTAAAGATTACATATACACTTTAAGAGTACAGTCAATGTGTAGGTTTGTGAAGAGCAAAATGGGGAAAACTGGTGAAAACTCCAGAAGGCACATTGAATTCTGACAAAAAAAAACGAATCAAACTAATATGCTGTTATATATAGAAACTAATACATTCAGTTCATGGTCAGATTGCACATTGCACATGCTAAACTCATGGGACTACATCTGCACACAGATTATTTGAGTTGTCTATTGCACACCTGTTGGCAGATTGTCTCATAAGCTGTTACTTAAAATACATCACTATTTTATGCATTATTCGGAATTAAATGCCTTGAAATAATCTCTGGGGCTCAACTGTCTCCTCCCACATCACCGACATCACTGGGAGCAAGAACTCTACTCACTATTAAACGCCCCCGTGCTATCTCTCTTTCTCACTTGCTGCTTTATTTTTAGCATTCAAACAACTGGTCTCCTAAAAATGGGCCTGTCCTGCACAAGTAGTGGTAGAGGAGCGCAGCTATGTATGGTATCCACACGCCCCACCAGTACCTCACAGGCCCGGCAGTGCTCCTCTTTCATGTCTGTGTCTGCAGAGAGAAGGCGTGAAGGAGAGATCACAGGGGGAGAAACAGTTGCCAGTTCTTGAAGATGTTTGAAGAACTTGGATTCGTCTGCACAGCTTGGGATGCTTGAGAACTGCGATTGACGGACCAACTTTTACCTCCTAAACTTACTGTAGCTTTTCCTACGTTTCCCTATCCACAGGGCTTGGGTGACCTTTTCGATTTGGCAGTTTTTATACTGTGAATCTAAAACCAAACTCCACCAGACTTTCTGGGGTGTGTGGTTGCTCTGGACCATGCTCTCCCTCTGCTTGTTCTTGCTCCCTTGCCTGAGCCTCGTGCCTTTGGCCCCGGCTGCAAAGGGCCTTGAGTTCCCACAGTATGACGGGAAAGACCGTGTCCTAGACATCAATGACAAGAATTACAAGAAAGCCTTGAAGAAGCACACCATGGTATGCATGTTCTACCACGGGCCCATATCAGAGAGCAAGGAGCTGCAAAAACAACACAAGATGACTGAGTTGGTGCTGGAGGTAAAGTATTAGAAGAGGAAAACAAAGCAGTTAGAGAAGAGGTGCAGGGCCACATTTAAGGAGAAGGGAGATAAGCAGTGATCAAAAAAAGAAAGAAGAAAAAGACAGTTGTTGCTAACAAACGACAGAAATCGAATGGAAAAAAACATGGTTTGTTGTGTAGCCAGTGATATGAGGGAAAGGACCCACATAAATGACTTAGATTGCACTGCCCAAATAATCAGACAGCCAACTAGTAAGATACAAAACTCCATCTTAATGTGTATGTGTGAGCTTTTTCAAGGTCAACGAGTATAGCATATACTCTATGGGTGCACAATAGTCCAGTGAGATGCAGAGCTGTCACATAAGGTTACCTCTGTTGCTTTAATTCAATGTGTGCTTCGATCTCTTACAATTATATCACTCTGATTTTCCCTGTGGCTTTCCTCTGGTGGCAGAAATAGGCCAAGAGCTCATGTGGTTTCAGAGCAATACATGTGAAGGACACAACTAACCTCTTCTCTATTGTGGTATTTTTGTCGACTTTGGTAGTCAAAGCAAAAATAACTTGAAGTTATTTTGTATTCAGCCTCAGCCAACCAACTGGCTACAAATTGATAGATTAAACGAATCTCTTTGGTTGAATCCCATACAGCAGGAAACAGTGTGCACTGTGTCCTGTCTCATGTTACACATGGCTGAGGGTTAGTTGCTCTCTGGTCTGTTGAGGGTAACCTGAGCCCAGTCGCGCAGTCCTGATATTAGCACCGTTTCTTTGACATAGCACAGGTTGGCCATGTTACTATACAGTCATTCCCTCATGTCACAGTTAAAGTTGATATTACATATTTGCTAATTTGTTCCAAATATCTACTCACAGAAGGTTTTGCAGCCTTACAACATGTGTAAGATCTGTTTGCTGTTGTTGCTACCTTGAAGATGATACATGTATGTAGATAGTGCTCATTCTAAGGTAATAAAAACAAAACAATTCTTATTTTCAGGAAGAAAATTAAAAGCTTAATAATATTATATTCCATTTCTGCCAATAGATCCCTCTAAGTGCTACACACTGTTCCTTTAAAAGGTGCCCTGGGGAGTTTCCTTGTAAACACACAAATGGTAGCATTGTTTACATCCATGTTTGCTTACTAGAAATGTTCCCCTTCACTGCCGATGTTGGTGCATTGCTACGTTTGTTTGCACCTTGCCACCACCAACTGTCGGTGGAATGGCTTGAAACTGATGGCAGGTTATAGAATCTCATGGTCTGCATGCTCACACGTGTGCATGAGAGTCTTTGTGCAGTATGCAAACAAAACAGGGACCCACTTGTAAAAGACATTGCTTAAGGCGGTCAAAACTCTCCTTAATCTTAAATCTTTAACTTAATACGACCAGAGCTTTACCCTGTGCATTGAAGACCACATACATGAAAATCATACTTTAAATATGCTTGCTCTATTTTTGTAAAAAATTATGTATGGCAATAGAGTCTCCGTTTTCTAACCTAATGTACTTCACAGAACAATTGCCAGAACAATTACTGTAGTTTTGGCTATATTTAGATTCAGGCAGCTTAAACGATTATGTAATTGTGTCTCCGTGGCCCCTGGTCAGCTTGAGTACCTCTGTCATATTACCAACTTTGGCATTATTTTTTTCTCCGTTAGACCTTACCTAACACTGCAGTCACACTACCATTCATTTTTTTTATCCATGGAATATTTCAACTAAACTGCGATTTTGTTCTCAGAACTCCAAATCCAAAATCAATAGATTTTGGATTGTCTTGTTTCTTTACATCTTATGTGTTCAGTCCTGTTCTTACCGTTTATTCCTTTATGCTCTCTTTCTTTTGGCTGCAGCTTGCAGCTCAGGTTATGGAGGAGAAGGACATTGGGTTTGGAATGGTTGACTCCCACAAAGATGCAAAAGTGGCAAAGAAACTAGGTGGGTATATAAATAGAACATCATCTCTATCCGATTGATATTTGCAAGTCCTGAGAGACGATTGCCTTTATCACAGATTTAATCGAAGGGCCAAATAACTTCAAGAACAGTCTTTAAATGTATGTATTGATATGTAATTTCCTTCAATCACAGGCCTGGAGGAGGAGGGCAGCGTGTATGTTTTTAAGGCCGATCGGGTGATTGAGTTTGACGGCTTGCTCTCGGCAAACATTCTGGTGGAGTTCTTGTTGGATGTGAGTAGACTGACTCTTAGCTACTAGCACCAATCAACACCAGACTTTAAAAAAGTTACCAGCTTACCCCAGTACTTCTCTGTCTGTATGTCTCTAGCTGTTGGAGGAGCCCGTGGAGGTGATAGATAATGCTCTGGAGCTGAGAGCCTTTGATAGGATGGAGGAAGACATCCGCCTCATTGGTTTCTTCAAGAGCGAGGACTCTGAGCGTGAGTGTGTGAGCCTGTTGGCATGAATGATATGTTTGTAAAATGTACGTTTTTTAATGTCTGAACACAGCTCTTGTTAGCTGGGTTTGCGATGGGCTCTCTGTAGCTCATGCCCTTCATAATGAGTGCATTTTAACCCCCTTATCTCCACGGATTTACAGATCCATTTTTATCACACAGCTGTCACTGCCTGCTTCCATACCACGTGTTATGGGAGAACTGAGTCTGGAGTAGTTTACTTGCGGTGATGGGCTGGAGCCACATCCCTTGTCACCGTTCAAAGTTCATCTATTTCCGCTCCCTAATGTGCATACGTCATGTATACAACAGCCAAAGAAAGCACAAACATATGTGTGACTATAGGAAAACCTTGATGCTCACAACATAATAAAGTCAAAGAACACAGTATACTGTCAATGACTCCTTTGTCCCTGTTCTGTTTCATCCACAGACTATGAAGCATTTAAAGAAGCTGCAGAGCAGTTCCAGCCCTACATCAAGTTCTTTGCCACATTTGAGAAATCTGTAAGTAACACTCAAATAAACAAATAAATGGATGCATTTTTAGTCTTGAGGGATCCGTCTTTTTTGCCTCAGGTGGCCAAGGAGCTAACCCTAAAGCTGAATGGGGTGGATTTCTATGAACCCTTCATGGAGGAGCCAGTCACCATCCCGGGGAAGCCTCACTCTGAGGAGGATCTGGTGAAATTCATCACCGAACACAGACGGTAAACAACGTTGAATGAAATACTCAGACAAACGTGTATTTATTTAACCAACCTCTTTTCCTAAGGTCTATGAACACATACTTTAACATTCAATGTGTTTTCTGTGCCATCAGACCAACTCTGAGAAAGCTGCGTGCAGAAGATATGTTTGAGACCTGGGTGAGTGATGTTTGTCCGGCTGAAGATAACACTAAAAACTTTAGAATTTAGTTTACAATAACGTGACATAAATAACTTATATTTGTCTTCTTCTCCTCAGGAGGATGACATTAAGGGCATCCACATCGTGGCTTTTGCAGAGGAAGAAGACCCTGGTAAGGGCATGCTACATGCTATAAAACGATTTGATTTAGACACTGGAGTTTTACAGCAATGATAAAAATGTAATAAGATAAAATAATAAACCAGCTGAAAGACAAAATAATTTGTAAAATAGATTGAAAGCAATTAAAACATTTTAAAACAAGAAGATAACAAATGTAAGAAAATGTAATTATTAAGACAGAAACTGACATACAACTTAAGGCTTTAAAGAAATAGTTAAAAAGCAAAGTTATTCACTTACTTGGCGATCGATACCATTATCATGTTTGTATGATATGAATATTGAGCCATCATGGAGATAGCTTAGCTTAGCATAAAGACTAGAAACAGGGAGAAAGACTTCACAAAGTCACTGTGGCAAGCCGAGATATAGATAGCCACAATTAATGTGTTGGGTTTACACTTCTTCTTTTTTTAACAGATAAAACAAACAAGATATAAAGTGTTTATCAGTGAGCTTGAGGGGGGCTGGTAGGCAGATTTTGTTACCTTCGTACAAAGCAGGCTAGCTGTTTCCCTCTGTTTCCAGTCTTCATGCTAAGCTAAGCTAACAAGCTGCTGGTTTTAGGTTTATATTTAACTTACAGACACTTACGAGTGGCGTCAATCTTATCTCATTTAGCTCAAACTAAAAAAGCAACAAGAATCTTTCTGCAAATGTTAAATTGTTTCTTTATATTGGTTGATCTCTCCTTCTGGTCCAAGTAAATACCTACTGAAGGCAGCAAAGCTTTGTATCAATTGTTTTTTTGTGAAATTGCTTCTAGATGGTTTTGAGTTCTTGGACATCCTGAAGGAAGTTGCAAGAGACAACACCCACCTACCTGAGCTCAGCATCGTCTGGATTGACCCTGATGACTTTCCCCTGGTGAGCTGTCAAAATAAACAAAACATGGATAGATTTAGCTGACACGCTGCAGGTCTGATGTGATCTCTTTTTTTGTCGGTGACCCCCTCCAGCTGATCCCCTACTGGGAGAAGACCTTCAAGGTGGACCTGTTCCGACCACAGATTGGAGTTATCAACGTTACAGATGTGAGTCCCTGACGACCTGACATCCTGTCTGACGTGACATGAATGTTGTGATGAGTTTGACCTCTCTGTCTGCGAGCAGGCCGACAGCGTGTGGATGGAGATGGATGACGAGGAGGATCTGCCCACTGCACAGGAGCTGGAGGACTGGATCGAGGATGCCCTCTCTGGCAAAGTCAACACTGAGGATGATGATGACGACGACGACGACGACGACGACGATGAAGATGACGACGAAGATAGCGATGAAGAGGAGGATGACGATGATGATGACGATGATGACGATGACGATGACGATGACGATGATGATGATGATGACGATGACGATGACGATGATGATGATGAGTAATCCATAGCTTAATCCTAGTAAATGTTGACTTTTCTGTTTTTTTTCTTCAGGATTAAAGTTTAACATGAATCGCAGACAAACGACTGTACTGTACACAATACAAACAATATAATTATTTATAATGATAGTAATAATAATAATAATGATAATAATAATAATACATCTATTTAATATCCAAAAATGTTTGATGAAAAAAGATGAAAAAAGATTTTTCAACGATGTAAATAAGCCTGGAATGAGTTTTGTATACTGGATGTATACCAGACCAGACATTACCTCACATTACACATGAAAATCACTAATTCATCTATAAATAACTGCTAATAATAAAGGCCTGTCGATGTCAACCATCTGTCATCTATCTAATTCATTTCTTCTCTACATTGTGAAAAACTCAATCCTCAAGAGAAACATCACTGACTTACTCCAACTGTGGAACAGCAAGTAGACTAAAACGAAAGCAGCACCAACGACGGAAAGTAACTAAGTATATGTACTTTAATACAGTACTTAAGTAGCCTATACATTTGAGGAACTTGTACTCCTTGCGTTTCCATTTTATTCCACTGTATGCTTCTATTTGTAGGGGTGTATTGTTCAAAATGAAATAAGTGGTTCCAAATCTTTTTGGTTTGTGACCCTACAAAAACCGCTCTATGTAATGTCAGAAACAGCAGTTTTAATAGTAACAATAATAATTCTGTACTTTATGAAATGTTGAATGCAGGTTACAGCTACAGCTTTTAAATTGTAAAACCACATGCTGACAGTGTCCATTTACAATAGCAAACCTCTTATCTCTTCTTTCATCTCTCACTACTCCCTCTTTCTCCATCAGCTTTATTTCTCACCTGAATTAATGAGGAAGGCAGCAGCTGCACAGGGAGATGTCATCACACCGCTGGATTGACTCTGGAAAACTCATCAGAATGCTAATTCCTCTGGTTTCTCTTCCTCTCTTACATTCCTGCACTTTTACTTTGCTCTCTTCTTGTATCCCTTTGCGCACACAATGAGAAAAAACACAATGTAAAACAACTGGGGAGGTTTCTTGATATACATCCATCCATCTATTGATAGATGCTGCGCTGTGCCACCAGGAAATATTCGTGCACCTTTATTGTACTGGTGGTTAACGTCATTCTGATCCAGAAAACATGTATACGCACATTTTTTCATTAAATTTAGAATCAATCCACACATAGTGGAGAAGCAATAAAGGACAACATAATAAGGGCATTAAGCCAGTAGCATGAACGCCATGAGCAGCTCAACTGGTGAAATACAGTCCCAAATGTAATTACTGCTAATAATCTCATGCTGCACCACCATAAGCTACCTGAACTAATCACAGCCTATGATGCATATCTACCCACAATAGATAACTTTCACATCATTAGTTGTCTGGAGAGCAATCAAGACTCCAATAAACTGCCTGTCAATAACAACGCCCAGTGTGCAGCAGACACTGTCAAGACAACAAAAGCAGACAATCACAAATACAACTAGAAAGGCTAATAAAGGCTGATCCGCCTTACAGTAATAAAGGATACCAAGTGACACACTCAATCATTACATACAAATACAGCAATCAAATGCCTTGAAAAGGTTGATACAAATATTTATTTTTCTTACAAATGTGACTTTGACACAGCTCCTGTGATTTTACATGTTCTGTTGTATAAAAGAAGACGAGGACAAAGCATTTGGAAAAGCAACCTCTTTCCTTCTTTATGTTCCCTTTCTTTCTCCTCATTCTCTCTCTCTCTCTCACACACACACACACACACACTCGACTGCACATGTATGCTGAGCACATCCTAACTATAAATGAGGCACATGTGTAGTCAAGAACTATTTGCAACCATCAACACTCTAAAAGCCTAAACAAAACTACACCGTCAGTGACCACAGTAACACTTGTGTGGGTATAAATGGAACAACGTACCAGGCCCCATAAATACAAAGGGTTTTAAAAATACAGATCAAATACTCACACAAATTGAATTGATGCTCAGGACAGTGTTACTGTTCCAGTAGCTGTAGATAGGTGGCAGCTGTGTGCCACTGAGACAAAATACTGGAAGCAGAAATACTGACGCTGGGTCGAGTTAATTTACACTTGATATAAACATTTGCCAGCATGAGATAAGTGACTATTCATTTTGGTGAGACATTTGGAGAGACTTAAATCTCTCAATGTCCTAAATCTTTTGAAATTGCTGAAGTAATAATCCTTTAGGTTGTGCATTGTCTTATGCTGCAGGATGTATATTATGTGGATGGTGCTGTAATAATACACCTCATGATGAATTAAGATGGAAAAAAGGGGGATATGTTTTGAAATTAAACAGCACAAAGAGGTCAGTTTTGACACAATATATTAAAGGTCAACCACATGAATCTCAAAGCTGTCCAAACATCTCTCTACTAGCCTACAAACAACTGTACATACATAACAATAAGTCACATGTGTTTGTTCACAATCTATTCCCTAGACCATCTATGTTCAGCTGTACTGTGGTTGGCATTCAGTCCGAGAAATTCCAGTGATTTTGACATTTACAAACGTGTCTTCATCTATTTACAGTCTATTTATCTCCACAAATACAGACAAGGTAAAAGAACTTTGACAAGGTACAAAAAAAATCATTCAGGCAATGCAAAATTTTGATATAAAAAGTCTGGAGAGATAAAGTATATTCACATATAAATACTGTACATACATCTGTAATACGGGACATTTAAATAATGCTGAGACTGAAACATTTTGGTGAAAATGGTTGCGGGTTATATCACATATCCTGGTCACTATAGTGACGCTAAGGAGAAAGAAGAGACAGGTCGAGACAGATTTCCAAGTGTACACTACAGTCAATACACACGTCCTTTCTTCCTAAATCAAACACACTCCTTCTAAATCATGCCCCCCCCCTCATGAAGGCTCACACTGGCACATGCAAATTACAAGGTAGAACATCTGTGAAGATCATCTGTCGTGCATAGAGGAATACCTGAACTGTGTTCTGCAAACGTCAGGACAAAGAAATCCAAGGATATTCTCTCCCATTTTCTATCTTTTACTGCTTTCATGTCGACCGGGACAAAGACAAGGACACAAACATACTCTATGTGAGGAAATTACATACACATAAGTAAAAAAAAAAAAAAAAAAAAACAGTACAAAATGTTATTTTTCAAAAATTTCCGTCAAAAAATTGTAACAGTCCCGTAAGTCCAGATCAGCAGCACTGGTCCACTGTGTTAAACCGAGGTTTCTGATTGGAGCAGCAGTATAAACTTGTGAGACTTGAGGTCGACGTACTCCTCGGTCAGTCGAATGTACGGGATGCCCTTGATGGTTACAGCCAAGCTAAAGTCAAGACACTTCAGTAGGAACTCTGACCCCTCCTTTATGCCGCCAGTGACAGAAGCCTCGCTGACCAACGTCCACTGGTCAGCCATCCAGCGCTCAGGGCCGTACTGCAGGGTCGGACCAGGGGCCAGGTAGGCCTCAAGGAAGGCCTGGACACACAGACACAGCCAACCACACATGTTCACCAAGAAAATCGCTTTGTGAAGGACATTTATGATTAAAATTATATTTCTTCATTTGCATACTTTTGAGCACCATTTCTAATTGCAAAAACAACATCAAAATACTATATTAATTGTTGAGATCTGGAAATACATGGCAACATGTGTTTGTCATGCCAATGACTGCCTGTATGTGTATTACATTCAGACGGCATAGTATTAAGATTGTTTTCCATGTTTTTGGCGTGCCAGTTTAACTGATAAGTCAAAACACTTTGTTTTGTTTGTTGTGCTGTTTGCTGTAGCAGTGTCATTGTGTTCCCAGATTTCAGCAGATACATTGGTGAGTACAATGCTATCTTAACATGATTTCCAGAACTATGCAAAGAAGATCCAAGTTGTACTAATCTGGGATTATCCTTTACATCCTGTTAAACATGTACTTCTGTGGCTTGAAATATTAACAGCACATTGTATTCTGACATTACAATATTTCAGTTATCTAGAGAGAGAGGTTCAAAGCCAAACTCACCTTAGGACTCATGTTGTTGACGAGGCAGAACGCGAGGTGCTTCTGGATGCTCTCCATGCTGTGGGAGTGCTGCCTCCTGGTGGTGCGGAGGTACTTCTGCAGGGCCCGGGCCATGGAGGGAAATATAGCCAGAGCTGCTTCACGCACATCCATGATGTCAGACGGTGTTGCATGCTCGTCCTCTTTCTTCATCCGTCGGACATGTGTGAAGGCCTCCTCCACAGCCACCACCAGCCTGACAAAGAGGGAACAATGTTCCTTGCAGCTTTATTACTTGACAGGACTGTTGTGAAAAGAGCCAAAACATTTAGCTATTGTGACAAACGTGAGTCTGATGGATGCTCGCTTCTCACTTGTACATTTTAGAATGCCATGCAATGCATGAGCATACATTGAAGAGGCATTAAGTTGGGACTGGATATTTATATGTACACGTTTTACTTGTATGTCGTACAAGAGTTTTAACTCTTAACTGTGCTTTTGCGATAAGAGGAAAAACATATTTTTAAAGAGTAATCTGACAGTTGAATAATCTCTACAACAACTTTAAACTGGCAGGTCACAATGTTTCTTGGTTTTCCCTGACTATTGTTTTAAGACAGATATAAAATAATTGTGATGCCATCCTTAAAGGAGGCTAAACAAGATGTGCATTCAGACCGATCGCATTTACGTATCGAACTGCATGTCTGACAGAGTCTATAGATCAGTAAGCTGCCCTCCCACATGAAGACATTTGTTCCCTGTGGCTCACCTGGCTCTACGTTTACGGACTCTTCTCTCGTAGTCAGCCTCTTCGTAGTACAGCTCATTGTGGGCGCTGTCTTTGCGTTTGGCGGCAGCTGTAACCATGGCTCGTGACTGATTCCCATTACCAGGCTGCGCTCCTGCAGTGCTCCCCGGGGCTGCACCGAAAGGAGAGGACAGAGGCAAATTGGTTATACTAGTTTGAGCAGGAGAAAATAGCACCTGACCCCACCGGAGTCTCTAATTAATGGGCTGTATCTCAAACTGAATTGTGGAGACAGGAAAGGTCAGATGGGAGGATAGCTCAGCTCTTACACATCACTGGAGGTGTCCAACAACTATGAATCAGCCTCTTCAGTGTTATCTCTAATGTATAGGTTGGACAAAATATTTAAGAAGAGTGTTTGTTACTTATCTGGGGCATCCTGCCAAATCATGTGTCTCAGTCACAGAGAATGTTAATTATAGCACTGAGAAAAGAGGAAAATTCCACTGGAAGCCTCTACGTTTCTCTGATGCAGAAAC